AAACTGCATAAATGAAAATTCGAAAAATTGTAATCGAAAAATTGAGGAGAAAAGTGAAAAATCGAGAAATTGAAAAACTGAAAAATTGATAAAATAAAATTTTATTTTATATAGGTATTTTGCCACTGCCCAAATTTAAAAAACAAGTACGGTCTTTTGTCATTAGAAATTGTTTTTATTCATTTGAGGATTACTTTCTATGTAATCTTAATTTTAATAATGTTATGTAAATTTAAGCCGGCATTATGTATTTAATTTGGAATTTTGACTTATGTAAAACTGCGGTTGTCACATCAATAAAGGTATTATTATTATTATCAATATTATTATTATTATTAAATCGAAAAATTGAAGAAAAGAAAAACTGGAAAATCAAAAAATTGAAACATGTGAAAATTGAATAAACGAAAAATTTAAAAATCTAAAAATTAAAAAAAGACTGGAAGAGTGAAAACTCGAAAAATGTTAAAAACAAAAAACTGAAAGCATGGAATAAATCAAAAATTTCAGAAGTTGAAATTGATCAATAAAGAAAAATTCATAACTGAAATTATGAAATTTATGAGACGAAAAGTCCAAAAATCGAAAAATTGTTGAATCAAAAAGTTGCAAATTGCAAAATTGAAGAAAGCAAAAACTGGAAACTACAAAAATTCAGTCAAGAAGCTGAAAAAGCAAAAACTGGAAAAGCAAAAAGAAACTGAAAAATTTTTAGATTGAAAAAACTCGACAACTTGTAAAAACGAAAAATTGAGAAAAACAAATAATCCGGAAAGTTCAAAAATTGAAATCGATCAAAAATGAAAAATTTTAAATGTAAAAAGGAAACAAAAAAACTATGTATTAAAAACATCGAAAAATTAAAAAATCAAGAAATCGGCTGAAAATTTGTAAAAGTTAAAAATTGAAAAATTGTTAAATCGAAAAATGGAGAAATGGAAATACTAAAAAATCGAGAAAAAATGTTAAATCTAAAATTTGAAAACCAAAAAATTGAGGAAATAAACTGAAAAATCCAAAAATTGCGAACTAGAAACATTGAAAAATTGAAAAACCGAAAAATTGGAAGAGTGAAAACTGGAAAAATTAAACACAGAAAAACTGAAAAATAGAAAAATTAAAAATCAAGAAGGCGAAAATCAAGAATTGAAAAATTGAAAATCGAGAAAATGAAAAACTGAAAAATCGAAAAATGGAGAAAGGAAAATTGAGGAAACGAAAAACTGAAAAATTGAAAAACTACAAGCTAGAAAAATTACAGAAACGAAAAACCGAAGAAATGAAAAATTAAATAAAACTGAATAATTGAAAAATCGAAAAACTGAAGAAACGAAACACTAAAAATTCGAAAAATTAAGTCTGGAAACTAAGAAATTTAAACATCGAAAGTCTGCAAGTCAGAAAATTGAGAAATCGAAAAATAGACAAATCGAAAAAAAAACTAAAAGTGAAAAATGAAACAATTAAAAATTTGTAAATCGAAAAATTAAAAACCGGTATGTTGAAAAATTTGACAAATCAAAAAACTAAAAAATCCAAACATTAAAAATGCAGACATTGAAAGATTGAAAGAGTGTAAAAACGAAAAATTTAAAATATTGAATAATTCGAAAAATTCAAAAGATGAAAAAATTCATAACTGAAAACTCGTAAAACTGTGAATCGAAAAATGCAGAAATTTAAAATCTGAAAAATGGAAAAATTGTAAAAAGAAACGAAACGCAGAAAAATCGACAAATTAAGAAATTTAAACCAAAAATTTACAAATCTGAAAACTGAGAAATCGAAAAAATTGAAAAATCGAAAAATTGCAGAATCAAAATATATATGTATGTATTACAAATTGAAAATTTGAAGAAGGCAAAAATTGAAAAATACAAAAATTAAAAATCAAGAAGTCGAAAAATCGAAAATAGAAAATGTAATTGCAAAAAAGAAATCCGAAGAATCGATGCATTAAAAAAACGAAACATTAAAAATTTAAGAGTCGAAAAATTGTAAACTTAAAGAATTAAGAAATCGAAAAACTGAATTGAAAAATGTAGAAATACTAAAAAATCGAAAATAAATAATTCTAATATTTGTAAACCAACAAATTAAAGAAATAAAAATCTGAGTAACCGAAAATCTCGAAAAATTAAACAGGCAAAAACTGAAAAATGGAAAAATTAAAAATTAAAAACCTATAAAATCGAACCGAATCAAACATTGAAAAACTGTAAAATTGAAAAATGGAGAAATGGAAATAATAAAAAATCGAAAAAAATGTTAAATGTAAAAGGTGCAAACTACAAAAATTGAAAAATCGAAAAACTTAAGAAACGAAAAATTGAAAAATCTAAAAAATAAAAATTGAGAAACCGAGAACTTGGAAGAGTGAAAATTCGAAAAATTAAACAGGCAAAAACTGAAAAATGGAAAAATTAAAAATTAAAAAACTAAGAAATCTAAAAACTAAAAAATCGAACCAAATCAAACATCGAAAAACTCTAAAATTAAAAAATAGAGAAATGGAAATAATAGAAAATTGAAAAAAATGTTAAATCTAAAAATTGTAAACCAAAAAATTGAAGAAATAAAAAACTAAAAAGTCCAAAAATTACGAGCTATAAACATTGAAAAAAATTTCAAAAATTAAAAATCTAGAAACTGAAAAATATTTAGACTGAAAAGTCGACAACTTGTAAAAACGATAAATTGAGACGAACAAATAATTTGAAAAGTTCAAATCGAGCAGTAATGAAAAATTCATAACTGAAAAGCTGGAAACTGAAAAATTCGAAACACTAAAATATCGAAAAATTATAAAATCAAAAAAATGCAAATTGAAAAATTAGAGAATAGAAAAACTGAAAAATCTAAAAAATTACCAATCAAGAAGCTAAAAAAACGGAAATTGAAATCTTCATAATCGCAAGGAACAAAGGAAACACCGAAAAATCGAGAAACTAGGAAATTTGAAAACCAAAAATTTGAAAATCAGAAAATTGAAAAAGCGAAAAATTGTAAAACCGCAAAATCGAAAAACCGACAAACCGAGAAGGCGAAAAATTAAAAATCGAAAATTTGTACATTGAAAAATTCGAACAATTAAAAATCGGGAAGTTGAAAAATTGAAAAAATCTCACAATTTGGAAAATTAGAAAGTTGAAATTGATAACCGAAATTCATAACTGAAAGCTCGAAAAATTGTGAATCGAAGAATCGAGAAATTGAAAAACACGAAAAGTGAAAAATCGAAAAATTGTAGAAACAAAAATCGACACATTGAATAATTAAAGAGGAGAAAAACTGAAAAATCTGAAAATTTCGCATTATGAAACCGAAAAATCAAACACTGATTCACTGTAAAATCGAAACACTGAAGACGAAAAATTGAAAAATCCAAAAAGTGAAAACTCAAATCTCGAAAAATTGCAAATCGAAAAATTTTAATTCGAGAAGCCACAAAAAACTGAGCAAGCAACAATTTGAAAAAATGAAAGAATTGAAAGAGCGAAAAATGGTAAAACCGAAAATGGAAAAATTGCCAACTTGACGATGATGGGCTAAGGTGTCACATTGTTCCTTAATTTCTCTAACAGTCTGATTTTATAAAATCTCAAATTGAAAAACTGTAAAATTAGAAAATAGAGAAATGGAAATACTAAAAAATTGAATACCTAAATCTTAAATCAAAAATTTGTAAAACAAAAAATTGACGAAATAAAAAACTGAAGAAACGAAAAATTGAAAAATTAAAAATCAAGAAGCCGAAAACCAAAAATGAAAAAGCAAAAAATTAAAATCGACAAAATGAAAAACTGAAAAATCGAAAAATGGCAACGCGGAAAATTGAAGAAACGAAAAACTGAAAAATTGAACAACTACAAGCTAGAAAAATTAAAGAATCGAACAACTGAAGAAGCGACAAATCTTGACAATAGAAGCCAGAGAGTTTTCTGGAAGGGTAAATCATCGACAGAACTTGAAATCAAGTACGAAATTCCAGAGGGACCACTTGTCTTCATCATATATATATATAAATGACTTAAAACCGAAGAACAGTTCGACACTGTGATGGTACATGTTTCGAAGAGGTAAAACAACGGAGGAATAAAAGAAAAAACAGAAATATAAATAGCATCGTTCACGATAGAAATTTCAATAATAAAACTATTATTACCGATTTTACGGTTTATGCGGGCAGTTATCTTAATGAAAGATAATTTTCATGTATACTACAATTTTCTAAGTATTGACTTGTTCAGCAACAACTACCATTAAATATTAACACTATCTATATTTTCTGTACCTAAATTAAGACAAACGTTATAGAATATAAATTTAATTTGTGTAGTATTAAATCCATCATTGTGAATCACACTCCAGGCTTTAAAACTAACGTATTGTAGAATTTAAATATCATAACTAGGATACGGCTATTGCGTGTTCTTCACAGAACTGACCAAATCTGCAAATTGTAGCAGATTATCGTAATTATACATTTCTACTAATCGTCCGCTTAAATTAACAAAATTATTCGGATTTTGGAAATGTAGCACGTGAAAGCAAAATATGAACAGGAACACACGAACTGGTTAATGTTGAACCAAAGAAAAACGGAAATAATTAATGAACCCATTTTACTTAACGACATTTGTTTTTATAAATATAACTTCAGACGAAATTTTCCAGTTTAGCGACGGTAATCCACAGCGATAGTTGTTTTCACACGCATTAATTGTGTTACTGAAAATTAAGCAAATTTGTAAAGGGGAACTTCGAAAACTAGTATGATACAACAAAAACCGAACTGTCATCAAAACGAAAATCCCAACAGCAAAAAAATGCTAAAACCGCTCTATTTAATGACATTCGGTTTCCTACAAATTCCTACAGCAAGAAAAATTTTGAAGTTTGTTTTCTTATTGTATTTTCTACTACTATGCATTTTCGTCGTCGCAGTACTGTTAACATTTGACGGTACTTTGTTGATACAAAATGGCGGAGTAGTAGCCATGGCAACACACGTAAGTCGATGATTTTCCCGAAAACCATTTTCTTATCAAAATTTCAGCATCTATATCTCACCTGGATAACATTCACTTTTGAGATAACGTTTTCGAAAATCTTGTCAGAAATAGCGTCGGAAAAACTTTGGGATGAAATGTTCACCGCAAAAATCAACAGCAGAATTACCGCAGAGTCAAATATAATCACGCTTTGCCAACTGGGGGCACTGATTGCATTTTTATTGTTCTCGATGGAGTGTTTGCCAATTTTTAATTTCTTTCAGAACATTTTTGACGCGCTGAATTCCTTGAAGGACATTTTTGGCCCAATTTCGAACGTAGTGAATTTAGCAGTTTATTTGACCTTTCCTGTTGTTGGCTACAGTGCTTGTTGTGGTGGTGGGCTCATGATATACATGGTTTTGCACATAAAGTTTCATGTGTATTGCATATCGCATAGACTGGAAGAGTTATCAACAAGAAAAGTATGTGATTATAGTAAGATGGACGAATTTCACATGGAGGTGCGTTCAGATTTGAAGACATGTATCCGGTGCCACCAAGTTATACAAATGTAAGCTGGTGTTTTTTGTTTCGCTATGTTTGATGTATTATTAGATTATTGATACTTTTAGAGCGATAAGAAAACTAAACGACGCTATTTATTTACCGTTTATTATACTGTTTTTAATTGGATTGATAGTTCTCGTCGGTGTTTTCATCAATAGTACCCTAGTAAGTATATATTTTCTGATCTTGACTTTAAAACTAACACCAATAAAACTTGTAGTACGAAATACAAGCTGCTACTGATTATGTATTTATCGTTCACTATTTGGTAATTTCAAGCATTGTTCCAGCTGCACTTATTTATGTGGCACAAACATTAATAAATGAGGTATGAATTTTAGAAATGATCAAAGACAATCTTTAAAAAATTCATATTTCTCACTGTTTTTTTTAGTACGAAAAGATTTCCGTAAACCTGTTGAACTGTTCATGGTACGAATGGAATTCTACAAATAAAACTGCAATGTTAATGTTCTTACAAAACTCTCAGAAACTTGTATGTATTGGAGATCGAAATATGATTCATATGGAATTTAGTTTCGTACCAAAAGTGAGAAAAACAGTACTTTTTACATCTTTTTTCATTGTCTTTTTTAGGGCCTGAAGTTCCTTTGGAGCACGAGCGTGTTTTTTATCCAAATTGTCAGCCCAAGAAAGTAACAAGGAATAGTATAATTACTGAGATAAAATGTGAAAAAACCACACCGTTGGGATTTTGATCATACACATGTGTGTTTTAATAAACAAATATATAAAATTGTTAAAAATGCTGTTATTAAAGTGTTACATTTTTCGGTCGAAAAGTATTAGTTTTTATGTCTTTTATTACCCTGAACATGAGCTTCATCGACTGTCTGAACTAGTTCGAGAATCATTCACGATCGTCAACACAACACCAAAATTTTACGTTACCACAAGGAAACTTGGAAAAAATAATGATTGTCAGCAGAGCTGTTCAGTACTTCAAGTAAAAGTACTTGAAGTAATACTTCAAGTACTTTAAGTACTTCAAGTACTTTACTTGAAGTACTTTTATATTTAGGTACTTGGTACTTGGTACTTGGAGTATTTCTAAAATGTACTTGAGTTTAGTACTTGATTTTGCCAAGTACTTTAGTCCAAGTACTTCACTCAGTATTTTAAATATTTTTGAATTACTTGAAGTATGAAAGTGAAAATTTCAAATACTTTAGTCTCTATTTTACGAAATTTTCACATCTCAAAATAGGGTCTGTTAAATACTTGAAGTTATAATTCAATTATTTGATTAGATGTATTTTTATAGTAAAATCGTGTTTGTTTCCTGTGAGGTTATATTTTGATCTGTGATTGTGGATATCTTATTCACAATATGACGTACATTTCATAGGTACTTGCATAATGCCGATAGATAGGTAGGTAAGAAAATTAATGTCATAAATATGTCATTTGAGAGTAGATGACGACAGCAGAAGGGTCGGAGATCTGTGTAAAATTTTCAGCGATGTAAAGTTGTGAATATATGAATTTTGTCTTTTTTGTATTTTGGCCTGGAACTTAAGTTTTTCAGTATCCTCCCAGTACCCCAAAGGGGATGGGGTTTGTTGACGTACCTGCTAAAGTGCAAGGTCGCATTTGAAAATATTTGAGAAATGATTCAGTACTCGTTCAAAAAGATATTTATTCTTTCATTAGTTTATTAACCCCGCCGTGTATTTGTCAGTAAGAAGCCTGGTCAGGGCGGAGAACTTGGCAGGGGATTATCCCTTTTATTATAATAGCAATAGCTGATGGCAGGTACAGACTTCCATATTCGCCTCTTCCTCGTAGAATTTAAACACAATTTTATGTTAAATATTTTGCAGTTTAATTTTCTTTATCATGTTAGACACTCGTTTTTTACCAAATTTTCTTTTTTTGTTTATACATTGTTCAGCCATATAAACTTAGTTTGTTATTACTACTTATATTTTCTCACATTACAGTTTCAAATAATCTGTTAAATTGTATGAATTATTTGAACACCAACAATTTAAAAAGACGTAAGGCAGAAAAACAATGATTTTAAAAGTCACACTAATTAGTGTCATTTATCTTTCCTGTGCGGATTTTATTTATTACCGTACAACAACTTTACGTATTACATTGCATCGCTATTACATAAACCCAATATTGTTCAAAATGAAATATATTTTGTGAAACTCGGCTCGTAGTACTAATGTTTTTTGTAATCCAGTTGATACGACCATGATTGTATGGTTTTGATGAGTACCGAATTGTACTTTGGTATTGCTCGAAGGACCTTTGTTTTGTTGTGTGCGAAATAATAGACAGCGTTCGGTTTCGATGTTTAAATACAGGACGGTTACAGAAGTACTGAATTTACGTTTGTATTTACAATATCAGGTAAAGATACCCAACAGGGTCAGTGGCCGCTTCCGTAAATGGAACAAAATACATATTCACATTATAAAAAAATACAAAGTTAATGAAATTCGCGATTAGTTAGTATAATTGCCTAGATAAATACACCCCTACGAAATATTTTAACAATAATAAATTTTGTACATATTTACCTGAATTTTCGCAAAAGCCGTTGTTAGGCATTCCCTGAAGTCATTGTAGTTACTAATGTCATCTTCTTTGGGTTTTCAGGTAAAAATAAAAAATAAGCCAATCGAAAATGTAAAGGAAAATTCTGAAAGTATTGTGGCATTAGAGGAACAAAATTTTGTATAAATGGACGGAACAGCATTACGAACCTATTATTTGTGATTTGTCAGTGTAAAGTTACATACTTAGTTAGACAAACATCGTAGTGATTAGTGTTTACTATTTAGTCACTGTAGGATTTAGGTTAATTTAATAATTTTTAGAATAGTAAATACGTAAGTGGTAGACATATATATTGAGGAATATGGGGCATTCATTCCAAGAAAATTCTCAGCATTTTTGGTAACCGCAAAAGTAAAAAACGACTAATTACTTTGATCACCTTGATATTTTTCAAGAGTTATAGTTTTCGCTGAAAATGGACTCTCGTTTTAGGCATTTTATTTTTTATTTAAAAAATTCATACGTTTTTTTTAAAAATGCAACATAGTGACTTAAACATTTTTATGTCACGAGCATGTACCTATATGTATCGCACTGCTCTTAAAATTTGTTTCAAAAAAATTTGAGTTTCACAAATCCGGCCCTGTGCACTCTCACAATGGGTAATGATTAAGGGTGCTGTCAACTACCCACAAACTTAAACATGGAACCGGTTCATAAAATTCATATATTTTTAACACAACTTTATTAAAAAATCAGAACGTTTTGGTGGTGAACCAAAATTCAAAATATTAAAAAAAGGCAACAAGCCTGAGAAAATACCATACAGCGCCGATGTTTTTGTTATAAATTAATAGTAAGCATACATAGACACCGCCGTCATGTATTTTATTTTAAATTTTAAATTAGAAATATACGTTAATTTTGTCGAAGGCATTGTGTCAACAGAAAGAGAAAAATATTTCAAAAGAATATTGTTTATAAATAACATAGTATTATTAATAAGTGAGCTACCATTCTGCATTTAAGTTGATGCTTATGCAATTTTCGTTGTAGCGAAATATGTATTATTGTATACTTAAATTCTGAGTATTAAAAAATTCAGTTCTAAAAATATATTAAGCTTTTTTAAAAAAACAGGAAAAGTTATCTAATTCTACAGTATTTCAAATAATTAGAAAGTACTTGAAGCATTTTCAGTACTTCAAGTATTTGTAAGTACTTGAAGTATACCTCCAGTACTTCAAGTACTCGTAAGTACTTGAAGTAATGTACTTGGCTTGTACTTCAAGTACATCTGAAAAGTACTTGATACTTGAAATACTCTTGCTGAAAGTAAGTACTTGGTACTTTACTTGAACACTATTTCAAGTAGTACTTTGTACTTGGTACTTCAAGTACTTTTTTTGAGTACTTTGAACAGCTCTGATTGTCAGATGACAGCAGTCTCTTTGATGTCCCCACGCTAGAGCTCAAGAAAATAAGAACTGAAAAAGAAGTTTTTAGAAAGACTATAACGCTACTGTAATCGAAATATAACAACTAAGCAATCACGAAATGACAAGAAAAAAATTTGCGTGGAACATTAATAACAACATGTTTTGAACGATGTCACTAGGCTCAACATAATGAAAGGATGTATCATTCATAGCAGAAGCTTTCGTAAAATTGATCAATTCTCCGAATTGTAGCCAATTACCACGTTTTTACTATCTCCAAATTGGGAAAATAATTCCGGTGATCGATTTCATCACATCACTTTTCTAAGGAAAAAAATAGGTCGAGAGTTGTTTCGACAAAACTTCCCTCGAACCTAAAGTACAATGAAACATATTGTTACGTTGATCGGTGAATAAAATCGGCGTGGGTTAAACTCAACAATTCATTTCTTAGTAGTAGTGGTAGTAGTAAGTGTTTATTTTTGCCCTACGGGCTTGAAAGGTTCTTGATTTACACTACAATTTTTTCCTAATTAGGTAACAAAAACCAAATAACTCATTTTTTTCCTTTATCTCATCCCCCCTTGCCCCAGCCTTACTCTTGTCCTCTCCAATTCCTTCATCCATTCCACCCCTCTTCCGTCTTCATTCAATATCTCTGTCACACTCTTCTCTCTTTTTTTTGCTCTCCTCACAGTCATGCAGCATGTGCTCTATCGTCTCTCGCCCTTCTCCACACATCCTACACATTCTCTCACCTTCGCTTACCCAAAACTTATTATTTATTTCTTCATTTCCACACCTAAATCTCGCAATTATTTTTTTTTTCTTTTGCGCTTTCTCTGTCTAGGTACGTTGGTACTGTTTCTGTTATTATCTTTCTATAGTCTGCATTGTACCTAGATTTACTTACACTCGCTCTTCTCTCTTGTTTATCTATGTCTCTGTCACGCATACACAACTCTTCTCTCATGCTCACCCCCATTTCTCTCTTTCTATCTATTTCCATCCATGCGTATCCCAGTCTTTCATAATATCCTTGCCTACTCTTGTGATGTTCTTTCCCTGCTTCCTGTTTTTTTCCTTCCAACATTCATACAATATCTGCATTCCTCTCTTTCTTTCAACCTTTCATCATACGTTACAGCTCTTTTCCCAGTGTATACTCTTAATTTCTCTCTTTTACATTCTTCTCTTACTATATAGCCTAGCGTCTCTTTCCGTAGCCCTAACATCCACCTCAAATATTTTTCTTGTACTGCTTCAATCTTTGCATATTCCTTCCATCCCCATATCTCCACGCCATACATTAATACACTAGTAACTAAACTATCAAACATTTTCATCCTTCTTCTTACGTCATGTCCAAATATTCTGTCTCCACACCATTCCCATTATCTGCATTGCTTTGACCCTTCTTTCTCTTATGTGTGCTTTTACCGTGTTAGTTGTTGTAAACTTAAATCCTAAATATTTAAACTCCTTTACTGTGTCTATGATTCGATCTTCCCAACGCCACACTTTTTCCTCCCCTTTCCTTCCTTTTTTTCTAAACATCATCATTTTTCTTTTTCTACATTTACCTCCAGTTTCTTTTTTTTTAAAGTATCTTTGCAGATTTTTTTTCATCTCATTCATTCCACATTCATCCTTCGCCAATATTACCAAATCATCTGCAAATGCCAA